AGCTCTGAGTAGAAAAAAAAAATGAAGTAGCTTTTTATTCTGTGAAAGAAGACCCAGGTAGCAGTAAAATGCCAGAAGCTACAGAGTGGGAGAAAATATTTTAAACACTTATCTGAGGAAGTCTAATATTTCACATAGGTAAAGAGCTTTCAAAATCCATCATTAACAAATTAACCAACTAATAAAGAATAAAGATATATTTCACCAAAGAACATATATAGATGTGAAACACATGGAAAATGTTTAGCATCATTACCCTGTAGGGATATGATGAGATAACACTTAGATGCCTAACAGAATGGTAAGGATTATGACAATGCCATAATATGTTGGTGGGTGAAGATAGAAGCAAATCACTCATTTCTGATGGCAGTTTCTCAAAAATTAAGCATGTAGCTGCTACATACATAGACTAAGGAATTCACACTCGTAAGCATTTATCTCAGGAAAGTAAAAAAACTTATACATAGTTTATTTCATAGTATCTTTATTCATAGCCAGAATCCTACAGTTTTCAGCAGCTAAATGAACTGTGCAAAAAAAAAAGAATGATACCATGGAATATCATTCATAAATTAAAAAGAAGTACCAATACATGAAACAATATGATTGAGTTGCCAGAGATGGTGAGTAAAAAAATCAACATTAGACTGGGACACATTTTCCACATGGAAATGTCATGTCATAATGGACTGCTCCTTATTTAACTAACGAATGCTATGAAGGAAAAGAATCTATCCCTAAATGTTAACACTGGTAAGGTTTTATAAAAAGTGTTTAAAATTGGGTACTAGTGGCTCATACCTGTAATCTTCACCACTCAGGGGACTGAGATCTCAGGATCATTATTTGAAACCAGCCTGAGCAGAAAAATATGTGAGACTCTTCAATTAATCACCAAAAAGCTGAAGTGAAGCTATAACTCAAATAGTACTAGCTATGAGCTACAAAGCTCAGGGTGGTATTAGGACTAGCTGGAAGCTAAAAAGCTCAGGGACAGTCCCTAGGCCCCGAGTTCAAGCCCCAAGGACTGGCACCCAAAACAACAACAAAAAATGTGCTTCATTAGACCAGGCATGGTGGCATACATCTATAATCCCAGTTATCATGAGATTGAGGCAGGTTTTTAGTTGTACGTTTTTGGCTATTGTGGATAAAGATGCTGTCAGCCCAAGTCTAGCCTGGGCTCCATGGTCTTAAACCTCTCCTCCACACCAAAAAGTACTTATAGCGAGAAAACTATAGAAGTATTAAGTGTTGCTAGGGATTGAGGAAAGGGAGGATGGAACATAAAGGAGCTAAGTGGGGCAACATGGAGGATATCACGTGGCCTCATAGTAGTTCATGCCTATGGTAGCACAGTTCATCTTTGAATATTGTATTGTCGTTCCTAGGTCTGGGGAATTTGGCAAAAGGGTACAGAAGATCTTTCTTAAGATACTTCTTAAAATTATATGCAAATCTAGAATAATGTTCACTTCTTTAATTCATTGCAGATTTTAAATGTAGCTTGGTGGAAACTAGTGTTTGTGTCTTTCTTACTCTTATGATTGGTCCATACATTAATGAATTGGTATTTACTTTGATGTCATTCTTGTCATCCCAATCATAGCTGCTACAACTGAAGTTCACTCTTAGTCTGATCACAGTCTCTGTTGACTTTTCATCTCATCCACAGTTAAGGTCAAAGCCTTTGCCTTGGCATAACAAACCTGACATGACTGGGCAACCTCCCTTTGCCTCCAATTTCTGCTATTGTTCCCCTCATTCACTTGGTTGCAACTGTACTGTTATCAACATGAAGAATTTCACTTTTAGAGCTTTGGTACTTCATGTTCCTTCTATGTGCAATTGTCATCTTCTAGGCAACTACATAGTTTGTTCTTAAAATTTAGTTTGTTTTTCCTAAACGGTCACTTCATTAAGGCTTTCCTTTGACCATCCTGTTGAACAACTCTTAGCCCCCAACACTAGGACTTCATATTCTTCTCACCATGCTTTATTTTTTTCCATATTTCTCCCAATCAGACTATGAGTTTTCAAATGCGTGAATGTTGTGTCTTGTTTACTGATGTGTATTTATTGTCTGAAATGTGCCAGTACATTTTCTGAAAGGTATTAAATACTTTCTTGGTCATTTGGCCCTGTGAATACTTTTTTTTTTCTCTTTCTCTCTGTCTGTTTTTGAGAATAAAAACAGCTGTGGACAATAAGTACATGGCTGAGTATCTCCTTACAGTTCTCAAGAAAGTATTTTAAATTACATGTAGTTTTCACTTGAAGAAAATTCCTTTTTTTTTCTTCCAACAATTAAAAATCCTTTCCTAATTATCTGTCATACCTTGGACAAACAGGCCAGTCAGTGGGCCTTAGTTGCTCACTCCTATATGAAAATTCCATCTGCCTTAGTTGCTCACTCCTATATGAAAATTCCATCTGCATGCAGAAGGTACAAGTAATTTTCCTCTCACAATTCTTAGTGTTCTTAGCGTCCTTCTTTTCTGTGTTTTTAACAGACCTGGGTCTTGAACTCAGGGCCTGGGCACTGTCCCTGAGATTCTTCTGCTCACTTGAGCCACAGCACCACTTTTGGCCTTTTCTGTTTATATGGTACCGAGGAATCAAACACAAGACTTCATGCATGCTAGGCAAGCATTCTACCACTAATCCACACTCCCAGCCCAATAGAATATTACTTTCTCTGACAACAAATGCTGGGTCTCTAGTAGCAAATTTATTGTATGTCTTTTTTTTTGTAGTTCTTTGGTTTTATTTTGAGATTTTAAAAAAGTATAGGTGTAAATGTTTTTATTTTTATTTATTTTTTATTTTTTTTGGGTCCGGTTGTGGGGCCTGAACTCTGGGCCTGGGTGCAGTCCCTCAGCTCTTCAGCTCAAGGCTAGCTCTCTACCACTTGAGCCACAGTGCCACTTCCGGCTTTTTTTCTTTTTGCTTATGTGGTGCTGGGGAATCGAACCCAGGGCCTCATGCATGCAAGGCAAGCACTCTACCACTGAGCCACCTTCCCAGCCCCGGTGTAAATGTTTTTAAATAGGCTTCTTGATGATAAAAATATGGAACACTTCATGAATTTGTGTGTCATCCTTGGCGCAGGGGCCATGCTAATCTTCTCTGTATCGTTCCAATTTTAGTATATGTGCTGCCGAAGCGAGCACGTATGTCTTTTATACTAGTCAGACATTTCGAACTAGCCTACATAGACTTAATTCAGATTTTTGTTTTTTTTGTCAGTTGTGGGGCTTGAACTCTGGGCCTAGGCACTCTCCCTGAGCTCTTCAGCTCAAGGCTAGCACTCTTCTTCGACTTGAGCCACAGCTCCACTTCTCGTTTTCTGGTGGTTTATTGGAGATAAGAATCTCACGGGCGCTGGTGGCTCACGCCTGTAATCCTAGCTACTCAGGAGGCTGAGATCTGAGGATCACGGTTCAAAGCCAGCCCGGGCAGGAGAGACCGTGAGACTCCTATCTCCAATAAACCACCAGAAAACCGGAAGTGGCGCTGTAGCTCAAGTGGTAGAGTGCTCGCCTTGAGCTGAAGAGCTGAAGGACCGCGCCCAGGCCCAGAGTTCAAGCCCCACGACAAAAAAAAAAAAAAGAATCTCACGGACTTTCTTGCCCGGGCTAGCTTTGAACTGTGATCCTCAGATCTTAGCCTCCTGAGTTAGGATTACAGGTGTGAGCCCGCATCACCCGGCTTAATTTGGATTTTTAAGGGAGTTTTAGAGATTATAGCTGAAATATCTGAGATTCTTAAGTGAAATAGTTTTTGGGACTAAGAAATGAGGTTTTATTGCCAGATTTGTGCTATATCAGCTTCCACTTATTATTTCAGCCAGAAATACATTTCATTTAGAAGACTGTTATAGGTGTGTTTTTTCAGTTCTTTTTATTCCACATTTTAAAGTGGTAGATTTAGTTTTTTTTTCTTTCATAGTTTTCTTTTTGTTGTTATTGGAGTTTGAACTCAGGAATTATGCTTCCTAGGCTAGCTCTCTACCAATTGAGCCGTACTCTTAACTGCTTTTAGTGTTTTTAAAAAAAATTTGATTTTAATTCATTAAAAAATTATGTAAAAAGGTGATGTACAGAGGGGTTACAGTTTCATAAGTAGGGTAATGAGGATACTCCTTTTTGTACAATGTCATCTTCCCCTTATTATTTCCTACATTTCCTTCTGTCCCCTCCCACAAGTTGTATAGTTCATTTTCAACATAGTGTCTAGTGAGCACCACTGCTACATTTGCTCACTCTTTATCCCTCCACTTCTACGCTCCCCTTACCCTCCCAAAGACAGATAAATGAACATGACAAAAAGAAAAGAAGCCAAAAACCAACAATAAAGATAAAACTCTTGTTTTCAAGAAGAAACAAAAAATAATAATGAATTTTACTTGGGTTAGTAAACTAGAGTGAAAGTAAATTATCTCAAAGAGTGGGAATAATAAGCATACTATATTCGGAAAAGCAGGTATCATGTATAGAAGTGATGTCTTGCTCCAAGAAGATGGACTGGTGGAATCTGGCATTATATTCTTTTTTTGGTGGGGGGGTCCACTTGTGGGGCCTGAACTCTGGACCTGGGCGCTGTCCCTCAGCACTCTACCACTTGAGCCACAGTGCCACTTCCGGCTTTTTTCTTATGTGGTGCTGAGGAATTGAACCCAGGGCCTCAGGCATGCAAGGCAAGCGCTCTACCACTGAGCCACCTTCCCAGCCCGTGGCATTATATTCTTAAAATGGAAAAAAAAAATGCAGTTGTGTAATTCTCAATTCCTTAATGTCTAATCTTAATCATCAACCAAAACTCAAATTCTTCTCTTCCCCAAAACACACATGGCTCACTGTTAGACATACATTTGTATTTGTTCGATCCTTTAATTAGCAATTTTTTTAAAGGTATAATGGCATTTAGCAAAACTTTAGGTTTAATATGTGCATTAACATCTCATTTTATCATGTCATTCATTGTTCTCTCTCTAGATATACCTGTATTTCCCACGATCACAGCCACTGTGACTTTTCAGGAGTTTCGATATGATGAATTTGATGGCTCTATCTTTACCATACCTGATGACTACAAGGAAGACCCCAGTCGTTTTCCAGACCTTTAACTGACATGCAAAATGATACTATTCAACCAAGAACAAGAAAAACAGACTCCCAGAAATGAATCCAAGTAGAAGGGACAAATGCTTTCAGTAAAGGGAATTATATGTTGAATTGACACATCAGTAATAGGATATAAAGAAATGGGCCTCTAATAAGAATTTCAGCAAGTTTTCTGATGTGCCATTTTCAGTCTTTTTAAAAGTATACTTAATATAAGTGTAATAGTTTGACCTTAATGACCCTAAGACCTTCGTATGTAAAGCAGCTACCAGTGCTGTGATTTGTTTTTAAAGATTTTTACATTTCTTGTTGAAATATATATGCATATAAATATATCTATATATCTATATATCTATATCTAAAACACTCCTGGACCATTAATGTAAATTAAATGTCTTAAAAGAGATATGAAACCCTTTTAAACTCGTCATCTTATATTCAAGGTGACATAAATATTTGTTCGCTTTGTTTTCACAAAATGTAAACTCTGTAACATTATGTATAGTTCAGTAATTTGAATGTTTGTTCAATATAATGAACTAGAAGGAATGCAATTTTCTGTAGATGAATGAACCAAATGGTAACCATTAAATAATTGCATTTATATGTTGCAATACATTTCAGAGGGAGCGTTCACGCTGCAGGGAATAAGGTACCTCTTTTAGCACCTTAGTGCAGTTCATTGTGGTGCTATTTGTTTTTACCTGAATTCTTTCTTCAATGGAAAATGTTATTAATCTTCCTTTCATAGAACCTCTATTTTTTGTTTTCTAAATTAGTTTAAAAGTCCTTGTTATGTTCAGATACAGTATGGTTAGCATGCTTAAGATCCTCTTCCAAGTCTCAGCACTTTAAACAAATTCCAGGTTTTTAAACTTGCTTCCTAAAAAGTGCATATAAGTCTGATGAGTATGTTTTTAGTGGAATATGGATTACATTGGTGTCAATTTTAAAAAACAACCCACATATTTTAGACAACCTTACATATTTAATGCTTTCAATATAATGTTAAAAACATTTTATATGCTAACAATATATTTGTTACAAGTTATAAAGTTCAGAAGTGTATACGAGATTGACAGTTCCTATTTTTTTTAAGACACAGAAAAATATTTGTTAATTTTGTTTTCAAAATGTCAAAATCATTCACTCACTTTTACACTTACAAATTTTCATATTTATTACAAGATGGTTTGAAGGTCCAAGAATGAAAACAAATTAGGGAGGATAATGTGTAACAGTTATTATACACTATCATGTTGTATTAAGGAACAGCTAAATGTTTTTTAATTTGTCCCAATGAATGTGTCAAGAATGAATTTTTTAGTGACTAGTAGTTTAACATTTTATTTTCCAGGATTTTAGGTAATTTGAAATGACTTTAGCCTTCTTTATTGGAGAGATGATTTATTGAAATTCCAAAGAAACCATAAGAAAAATTTTATAATCTTTAAAGCTGCATCTTCCATACCAATAACATGTTAAATATGTCAACATTTTATTAAATATATTTTATAGTGAAGAAAAATGATTATAGTTAAAAATTCAAAGACCTATCAGTACCCTATGTGCATCTGTTAAATTTTGAGAAAAGAATGGGAAAACACAGATTTTTTTTTAATTAGGAGTTGGTCTTTAGAATTTAGGATATGGTGAGAGATCAGCTCCTCAAGGAATTGTCCAGTCAATAGTTACATAAAGTTTGAGATTCTGAAAGGCATTGCCCATTATTGTTTTTTAGCCTATCTTGTTTTGTAGAAATGTGGTATACTTTCAGGAATATACTGCACATTTATTAGTAAGTACAGATTTAGGGGATTATTAAAAAAAAAAAACTATGGTAAATTGCAGCGTGGGAGTTACCAGTTTCTTAACATCTGTGAATATTTTGCTGGGGTACACTGGAGATAGGAAGACTACTGAAAAATTTTGCACTTGGATTTGTTTTTAAGACGTTAATCTTTTCTTTTTCTTTACAAAATAGTAGAATCCATTCCATTCCAAAATGTCTTTTCTCTGATCACAAACAAGAACTAAGTGTCAATATCTCATGATGGTGGACAAAAGGAGTTAATGCAAATAAGCAAATAAACTTTTCACAATATTAGATTTTTGAAGATGTTCCTTTTAATCCCAGTTAATGAATGAAGCTATAGGCTGGTTAAAATAGATCACAATGCTGTATTTTGACTATCTCAAATGAAACTCAAGATTTTAAAATAAGTAAATGCGTAAAATCATCCTGTCTTTAACTTACGAATTTAAAATGACACTGGCACGGAGGAGGGTACATAAGAACCCCCCTCCTCCTTTTCCCCACCTTGCAGGTCGTGGGCTTGAGTGCTATCCCTGAGCATTTTTGCTCAATATTAGCACCCTACCACTTGAGCCATGGCTCTATTCTAGCTTTTAGATAAAAATCTTCCTACTTAGGCTGGCTTTAAACTATGATTCTTAGCTCTTAGACTCCTGAGTGCTAGGATTACAGCTGTGAGCCATGGACATCCAGCTAAATCAGCCATTGGAAACTCATTATATTCTTGCCACTAATGTCAATCTAAAGATGTGATTCCTGTCTTAGGAAATTGTCCTCTGTGAAGTGCCCAGTTTCAGCCGCCCCCTCACAGACCATCAGAGATCATGATCAATGCAAACAGCAAAGAGTCGTTTATTACTAGCTCAAGCTTGGTCCTCCACGCACTCGGTAGCCGATGACGCTAAGAGGCCCCGAGCATAGAATCAGCACAGCTTTTATAGTATTAAACAAGTTCGCAAGTTCAGGGGGTTTAAGTTCACCCTGAACACACTTCCCTTTTTCTGATGGAACACTTGGGCAACTGCTCTGTTCATTAAGGGTGGGCAGGGTTGGTGGCAACCTGCAGTTTTTCTGAGAACTATTTTTCTCTTTGTGGGTTACTCTGAGGGCCCCACAGCTCTTAAAATGGAGTTACTTTAGCTCTTCACACTGTATACATTCCTTGTTTTTGGGTGCTGGTCCTGGGGCTTGAACATGGGGCCTAGGCACTGTCTTTGAGCTTTTTGCTCAAGGCTAGCATAGCACTCTAAGCCATGAACCACAGCTCCACTTACAGCTTTTTGGAGGTATTAATGGGAGATAAAGGTAATTGTCTTGCACTTTTCTGCCTGGGCTGGCTATAAATGGTGATCCTCCGATCATGGCTTCTTGAGTAGCCACGATTACAGGTGTGAGCCACCATGCCCAGCAGCTAATATAGAGAAGCCTTTTAACTGGAAAATATAGAGCAGATGCCCTGAGTTAGAGACCATATGATTTGGAAATTGACACATCTGTCACCAGAAGCTAAAAAACTAGTTTCCTTTGCTGATCAAAACTTGTTAAGTCTTAACACCAAGAGTAGGTTTTCAGGCTAGGCATAGCTGTAAACACTTGTAATTCCAGCCACTCCAAACCAAGGTAGGATTGAAAATGCAAGGCTAGTTTAGGCAACACAGCAAGACCCTATCTTAAAGTAGAAATGGAGTAGTGATGTAGTGGTAAAGTACTTGGCATGGTTTCATTCACCAATCACCCACCCCTCATAAGTATTAGATACTCTATGACTTGTGCCTTGGGGACAGTGTTGAGTGTTAGTGTTCACCAAGTCTGAAGCAGATAAATGTCCTGTTTGATTTTGCAGGCCATGAAAAAGCTGGAGTAAATTACTATCATTAAGATATGATCCATTCTGTTCATTTATGTTTCTTTTATTTGCAAAACCGTTTGCTAGGAGGAAACAAGAGGTCCCACTTGTAGTGTGCCAGTATTTAAATTTGAGTGAAAGAATCATTGCTGGATTTGAAACTTAAATGGCAGTGAAACTTGCTTCCAGAGAGAACTGGACAGGAAATACACATTTAGCAAAACTAAGCTTGGCAAAAGTCCCTGACTTGTTTATATACTATAAAATCGTAGAAACTTTAACAAAGCATATATTAACCAACAGTCTTAAGTTGCCATTTTAAATTTTCAGTGTTTGATTTTAGAAATCGTTGACAACTCAATATGGTTTCTGTTGTAGCCCTTAGAATATTAGTACTAATAGCTATGTAACCTACAGTACACAGAAATATAATTTCACTTGCCAAATACCTTAAAAGTACTGATGCAAAGTTCCTAAAGTATTAAAAGATTTGTCTTTTGTTGTTTTACAAGTGAAAATGAATTTAACAAAATTGTCTAAAGCAACAATACTGCACAACCAAAACCAATCCACTTATTACCCATATTTCCCCGACTGCCGGTGGTCACTAAAGACCAAGGATTTGGGAGTTTTGAAGTAGTATAGGTTGTATAGGCCTTTGGGAACATAAAAGTGAAATCTTGTAACTCTTTTGTCTATTGCCCTTTAGGATGAGGTAATAGCTAAGGCTGCAGTTATTTGTTCCACCTCTCTTTAAGGGGGTGGACCTCAATTTAAACATGCAGCACCAACTTTAAAGTCAAGATTTGATTCAGCTGTGTGTATAGGTTCATGTAGGCGTCCCAAGCCATTAAGGTCAGAAACAAGATGTGACCAGTGTGTCAGTACATTTTTGAGTGCCAGTTTGTCTGTGGTTCAATGTTTCCTTCTGAATTGCCTGTGGACTTTAAGTCTCCAGGATCAGCCTTCCAAGATTCTTAACCAGTTTATACCATTATTAAGATCAAATTATTAAAAATAAACACATGATAACTCTCCTCCAGAGGTTTTGCTTATTTGATTACAGGTGGGTACCCTTAACTTTACTAAAGTTAGAAATATTGTGCAGTTAAGGTGTCTTCCAAAATTTAGCATTTAACAAAATGTTTCAGTTTTTATTATTACAAGTACATTTAGTGTATCTGCAGAAAGCTAACCCAGTTCTTATCAGGCAGAAAAATTAAGATTATATCATTCAGTAAGTTAATTTGTTCCTTTTGGCAACCTAGACCATCTTCTCATGCACAATTTTTTTTTTTTTTTTTTGGTCCGGTCGTGGGGCCTGAACCCTGGGCCTGGGCACTGTCCCTCAGCTCTTCAGCTCAAGGCTAGTGCCCTGCCACTTGAGCAAGAGTTCCACTTCTGGCTTTTTTCTTATGTGGTGCTGAGGAATTGAACCCAGGGCCTCATGCATGTGAGGCAAGCGCTCTATCACTGAGCCACCTTTCCAGCCCTTAACTGTTTTAAAAAATAGGTTTCCTAATAATTTTAGTGACCATGTAATACAAAAATAGTTTTGAAAAGGATGTGAATGCTAGCTTTTTATAAGGACATTTTATTAGTAACTTACAATATCTACTTTCTCTGTAAATAATCTCAGATTGCTATCTTCTATACATTAAGAATATTATCAGTATTCCCATTAGCCTTTGGTTTTGCCAAATGTCCAAATCTACCTATTAGTGGATATAGTTAAAATGGGAACAAAAATTGATATATGTCCATCTCCATCTTAGAAAATTAATACTCTTAGAGATTGTGAATACAAAGTATTAGTAGCAATTCCATTTTTCCAATACTCAATTCAATTAAAAAAAATGTTATTTTGGCTTAGTGCCAGGGGCTCACACCTGTAATCTATCTACTCAGGAAGTTGATCAAAGTCAGCATGGGTAGAAAAGTCCTGACACTCTTATCTCAAATTAACCAGCAAATTGCTGGACTGGAAACATTCAAGTGGTAGAATGCTGCCAGGACCAAGCAAGCAGAGCAACAGGCCCAGAGTACAAGCCATAGTACTGGCACACACAGCATGGGTCTTGCATGCTTTGGTGCTAAACAATTCATATTCAAGTCTTTGCTTTAGTCCTGCCCATTAAATTACATTTTTAAAAAGTCCTTAAGACAGCATGATTGGGTGAATAACAAATCATACTAACCAATACATAATAGAAACAAATTGGAATGGCGGTAAGTTGGTAGGTGTGTGTGTGTGTGTGTATGAAGTGATGGAGCAGGTCACATTGAAGTGAAACACCTTCATACAACTGTTCAAATAAAAGCCATAACCAAACAGCAACCACTATTCACTGACCCAGAGGAATCATTAAGTACTTCCTAAGTCAATCACCACTAGCTCTACTTAAATAAAGCTCAGACTCAAGTCTGCAAATATTTCAAAACAGACTGTCATTCCTGAAGTCTTAGGACAGTTTTCTAACAAAACCACTTTTTAAACCATTTTACTACCAAATACAGAACAAAACTGTGTGTGGGTCATGTTATGTTCACTTGGTTTTCCTCTCACCTGTTAAAATCTTGCCTAAGTGCACAATATAACGCACATATCGTTCACTAAAAAGTACCCTAGCCAGGCGCTGGTGGCTCACGCCTGTAATCCTAGCTACTCAGGAGGCTGAGATCTGAGGATTGCGGTTCAAAGCCAGCCCAGGCAGGAGAGACAGCGAGACTCCTATCTCCAATAAACCACCAGAAAACCGGAAGTGGCGCTGTAGCTCAAGTGGTAGAGCGCTCGACTTGAGCTGAAGAGCTGAGGGACAGCGCCCAAGCCCAGAGTTCAAGCCCCACGATAGACAAAAAAAAAAAAGTACCCTAAATATTTCATTGTACCACCTCAGGTCAATGACACTATTGAAAATCTAGAAAATTTTGATCCCTTTTAGAAAAGGCATTAAATGTTTGAGTTCAGAGATTTAAAAGTGTTAATTTACTGTGAAACTGTCAATATTGTTTCTGACTTAAAAAATGGGCATGCTTGCTAGGTATCCATGACTCATGATCATAATTCTAGCTACTAAGAGGCTGAGGTCTGAGGATTCTGGTTTTGAAGCCAGCATGGGCAGTTAAGTTTGTGAGACTTATCTCCAATTAACCACCAAAAATCTTTAAATGGAGCTGTGGTTCAAGTGGTAGAACACTAGCTTTCAGCAAAAAAGTTCAGAGGACAGCACCCAGGCCCAGTTCTAATCCCAGGCCAGCATAAAGGAAAAAAAAAAAAAGCCATGTGACTTGGTTTACCTTTATTGACTAAAAGTTTCTGTAATTTAAACAAATACTTGCATTCAACTTAAAAAATGTAATGATTATTCACACCTTTTACTAATTTCTTACACTTGCTAAAAGAAAAATTCCTCTTGATAAAATCTTTACTACAAACTGTAAAAACACAGCTTTTCTAAATGTCATTTTAATTTTAGAAAAAAATCACCTTAAACTTAGAAAAGGCCACAATTCCAAGTATTGATTTTCCATAATCTCAGCCACCCAACACTACTCATTTCATAAACGTTTATACCACTTAGTATTATACAATAGATACATATTAACTTTTGATACTAGCTCAGAAAAGGCAAATATTTATATTTCACTGAAAATATAAATTTACTATGTTTATGTAGAATCATTTATTCTAAAGTTCATTTTATTATCCAACCCCAATTCCCACACAAAAATATGAAGAAAGAAAGATAGTTCTAGACAAGTTATTTGGTGTTAGGACAATTATCACTAAGCTGATGGTTTTCATCTTGTGGTATTGTATTTAAATGTAGATAGAACTTGTAAAATGAGGTAAATGTCATACAATTCAATAGTGTGAATAAATACAAATGCAGTTTTACAGGAACATGAACATAAGTTTAAGGGTTTTATTATCAAAGTCATGTAAAACAATTCCAGAAACTGTACATCAACATGGCACAGACTGTAGCCTACTTTTGTTTTAACTGCACAAAAGTGAAGCTTGAAATCCTGTAACTAAGAAAACAGTTACCTAACTACGCATATAACATGGAATCACTGTGCATAAGATTACTATGCAGTAAGAGTAACACAAATTGGTTTTTATACAACTTGAGATCAAATAAAAGTACATCATCAAGTAATTTGTCTTAAAAAGCTTGTGAAAGTCAATTAAAAATGCACTATCCTTTTTTTTTTCTCCCTCAAGAGTGAGCTTAAAACAAACCAAAGTGGAAAACTGAAATCAGGACAAGAAAACTTTTTTTTCTTTTTTAAACAGATGCAGCAGGATAAGTTGATAGCTTTCATGGATGCAAATATGAAATAAATTACTGCAGGGAAAAAAAATCCTAAATACCTATGGAAAAGTATATAATTCTACTTCAAAATATTTTGCTATTTACTCACCGAGAAGTTTCATCTGAAATCTTGTTTGTGTAATTAAAGACTAATTAGCCATAAAAAAGGTTAGTGCATATATAACCTTTCTAAGTTAAACAAAGCCACAAAATTTAGCCATAAGGCTTAAAGGATTATCTACTTCAAATTTGTTTCCAGATGTAGCTCTAAGAATGTTAATTTGTCATGTCAACAAGACCATAAGTAGATCCATCATGTTGGAGGATTTTTAATGACATTTAGGATATTCTTGCCACAGTAACATGCAATCAGTGCATTCCCTACATGGCTCTATTACAGCAATGACTCAAATTCTAGAATTACTATAAGTGAACTTACTTAATAAAAGGGATTATACAACATAAACAATCCATGCCTGCTGTAGATGCATGCAGCTTTTCGTAAAACTGCTTGGTTATTCAGTCAGATTCACCATGACAAAGTTGGTTACCATTTTCTGAAAGCTTTTTGATGTAAATAACTATCAGTATCAGAAACTTTATAACCATTTGTAATTTTGAGCTGTATACATCTAAGTTTGAGATGAACAATTACAGCATTAAAAATCACACAAAGGAATGACACTGATGCATGTGTACAGCTGGATTCCCACAGAGGCAATATTCAGTCACTCATATCCATGTCTTCTTCATGATGATCATCCCCATTCACTTTGGATTCTCTTATTGAATCACCAGTTCCCTTGTCAACTGAACATTCCTTGGTTTTCGGGGAACCAGCTTCTGCTGATTTCTTCTCTTCTTTCTTCTCCTTTTCACTGTCATAGCCCTGTTCTTCTTCATCATAATCCCGTGTAACCTGCTTCGCCAAGGAGAATAAAAAAAAATAAGCTTCTTCAAAGAAAAGTTGTATTTCAAAGCTACCAATATTATACCGAATACAAAATAAACGAATTTGTATACATACTTTTACATCTTTATCACTCTCTGATTTTTTTTCCCGATCTTTTTCCTTATCTTTACTTTTCTTCTTTTTGCTTGTTGATCGTTCCCTTTCATCTCTGCTTCTTTCTTTGTCTTTATCTTTCTTCTTCTCCTTTTTATGTCTAGAATCAGTTAAAAATGTGCTTAAAGAATGCTTTAAAGAAACCTAAGATGTTTCATTCTGAAGTGGAGCAAAAGTTTTAGTTGCTTAGATTACTTTGGAGTTCAGAAGGTGGCAAACGCTGGCGATAAAGATACAAGTCGTACACACATAATGCAGGTGAAAAAATTGCAACCTTGTTCTAAGGGTAAAATGAAATGCTTGATTCAAGCATGTACTTCTTGTCTTAATACAAAGAACATTTTTAATTACTAAAAAGGAAAACTACGTAGTAGGATGGTTTAAAACATGATTTCTGAGAATTACAAGAGCTCTAAATACTTAACATCTTTTACCTTCTAGGGGATGGTGAGCGAGACAATTTTCTTTTAGGAGACCTAGGCTTTTTAGGAGATCTTGTTCCACTTCGGCTTCTTCTTCTTCGTCTCTCTCTAAAATCAGAAATGTGCAAACTAGGCTTTAAAATATAGTATGATCTCATTAGCTCTACTAGAAATTCTAATAACATGGTTTTTCTGACTGTAATACCTGTTTTACAATAGTGTTTTGAGCCTACATATCTCTGGGCTTGTTTTTTGAAGTAGCTAACTTTTCAAATTGTGATCCAAAGAAGCTGGGATCACAGGTATATGCCACCATTCCCAGCCATCAAGTAAGTTATGTTAAAAAAGAAATTGTATAAAAGTATATATAATCAGTATCTGAAGAAAGTACAAAAATGTTTCCTGTGAAGTTTGCAATACTATTTCAATTTTCACTAAAATACTTTAAAAATAGAAGGTAGCCTAGGAATGGAATAAATCACAACTTATACTGCTTTCCATTCATCTATGAACCACAGTATGAGAAACACAAAATTCTTGTCTATTAATATATAAACAAGATAAATATAAATGGTCTAAACATTCCAGTATGCTCTATTAAAACTCAACTATTTAAATCTATTTTTAACACTAAAATATTTAAGTATTTAAAGTTCAGGAACACATTTTCATGTCCACAGGCTGATTTTATAAAGGAAAATAGAAATCTTACCTGCTTGCACTTCTAGAACGTCTGGCTGTGCTGTAACTTTTTGGTGGTGTTTTGGAACGTTTCTTTTCTTTGTCTTCCTTCTTTTTATCTCTAATAAATAAACAATTTATAATGCATAAGAAGACTAAGCTAATGATTCTTTCTATGGAGTGCTGCAAATAGCAACTTAAAGTATAATTAGATCTAATCTTGTTATTCTGGTAGGTATTTTAGGAACTATAGCTTTTGTGACTTATTTGCAGAAAGATATTTCCTTAAAAGTCTAATTTCTTTGTCTAATAGAATGAAGTACTTTACTGGTTAAGAAAATATAGGATTGTTGGCTAGTATTTTGTGGTAAATTTCAGGAGATTAGTAATGGGATTCTAGATACTTTATCATCCCTTTCCCCACCCGTCTCTGCCTATTTCTATCTTTTCCCCCTTCCTTCTCCTCTTTTTGTGCTAGTCCTGGGGTTTGAACTCATCGTGTGGGAGCTTTCCTGAACTGTTTTTTTGCTCAAGGCTAACACTCTGCCACTTTAGCCACATCTCCACTTCCAGCTTTTTGGTGGTTAACTGGAGATAAGCGTGTCTCAAACTTTCCTGCTTGGGTTGGCTTCAGAATTGTGATCCTCAGGTCTTAGCCTTCTGAATAGCTGGGCACTTGGCTTATGCTTCTCTCTCTTAATTATTGGTATCATTCACTGATTATCACCAGTATTCTTCCATAGGATATATGAAGGCCTAAGCAATGCTTCCTATCTTTTTCTGTTGCAATACATTCTGGACTACCCAGTGACAATCATAATGCACTGGTAACCCTATTACAAAAATGGTTCTATAAATTTGTTTGTATTTAAGTACCCCATCATTAATCTGCTATATCACCATTTTCTCCAAGAATCTGAATAGGGGGTAGACCATATGTATTTCTGTTCTAAACACTTATCTGTATTAAAAAAATTGGGATCAGAACATTCCTTTTTTCTGTGCTAATCTTATGTCCTCTTAACTCATCTTTTTACTTCCCTGCTCATCCTGCTATAGTGTAGTTATCCTTCCTTTTCAAGTTAATAATTCATGTAATGTCTCAGATAATAACAATCTCTTGAGATTCTAAATTGTCTCTTAATGATCTCTAATGAGTTTCATCACACCCTTCGCAAACTGTTCATGTACTATACCTAGAAGAAATCTTTCCAGGCACAGTTGTGTGCTGCATGTGGATGTTTTCCTTCAATGACTGACCCACATATATGGTCCTAAATTTCTGCTCAGTGACACTGTAGCCATTGTAGTTTGTGGAAGTATACTCTGGTGGTTTCACCAAGAAATTGCCTAATGATGCATTTCTTGGCATTATTTCCTGTCATTAAGTGACAAATGACTGAACAAATCTGACAATACTCCCTCCCTCATCATTTGTAAACCTGCTGCAGTTGCTTCTTGATCAAGCACAAACAACAAAGCCATTTATGAACTGTCTCCTCTTTTCTGACCTTGTTGTTGGTCCTTCTGTACTAAAATACTTGCTACTTGTACAACTCACACTAACCTTTTTTTTTTTTTTTTTTAACTTTTTTTGGTCTTTTTTTCTGTTTTGGAACTGGGGATTGAACCCAGCACATTGTGCTTTGCCACTGAGCTACAACCTAGCCCTCACACTAACCTTTATACATCATTCTTTACAAGAAACTGAAACAATTGAGTCTACTGAGTCTACTCAAACCTTTCAGAATGCAGGTTAATTATACCTGTCCCAACAATAAATAGCAAATGGCCACTATTTAACGAAAGTCCCATGTAATTATATTTATTGCTTTCTTAATAAACAGAAAATCCTCGAGAAAAGAATCCTTAATTCCTTTTTGGTACAAGGACTTCATTAAGCAACCTATTTTGAAGGACTGGATTAATACATCATTTTCCCACCCACTACAAGTCTCATGATTACAGGCTGAATACAACTCAGTAAGGCTATCTTATTTCCATCTGTTGAGGTACATGCTTACCAATAATAATGATTGAGGAACAATAGTAAAAATCTGTGTTTTAAGAAATTTTACCTAGGTCTTCAGGTTTCTAAGAAACAAAAAAACTCCAAACATCAGTAGACTTAATTCCTAAGTAGCTTTGTACCTTTTCAACTTCTATCTCCTTAAATTTTGTATTTTGTTATTTAGTAGCATATTATCTGGGGGTGTCAGAAACTATTATACTTTTGTGTTCTCACCCAATGCTATACCTGGTTTTTGATGTGCTCCTTGACCGTCTACCTCTCTCTCTGGAATGAGATCTTCTCCGTCTTGGACTTTTGGATCGTCGCCTACTCCTTGATTTAGAATGTGATCGCCTCCTGGACCTGCTTCTTGATCGCCTAATAATGTATAAGGAAGTAATACACGTATATAAATGTAAAAAAGACTGGTTTGTGGATATTTCAGCTCATGTCAGACACACTAAAATCAATATAAAGTGGAGATAGTTCCCCTTCCTCCAGTTGCTGTCACTAAACATCTTTAATACCTTAGAAAAGTTAATACCCCTTTAATACTTAGAATTCTTCACTTTTTAATGTTTGACTCAATTGATTATGTCCACCATACCTATATCTTTTCAGGTTAAAAATATAAATAATCCCTTCTCTTGCTGCCATTATTTTATACAATCACATTATCTTCTAACATGTATCTTTTTGATTCCCCATCTGTCTATTATCAAACATGCATATTGTACTTACTACACACTTTTCAAATAGGCCTTGCAAGATTATTTCCTGAAGTGTATTCCATTTGAATTTCAATTAAACTCCAAACAATGTAGGCCTTACACATATAATTCAGTACAAATACTTTGTACTCATTTTCCTTCAATATTTCCATGACACTATATGATTCTTTTTCCTGCTACATTAAAGAAATACTTCTCAGCCAGGTGCTGATCATTCTTGCCTGTGATATCAGCTACTCCAGAGCCTAAGAGCTGAGAATTGCTGTTCAAAGCCAGCCTGGGCAGAAAAATCTGTGAGACATTTATCTCCAATTAACCACCAGAGAACTGAAGTGGCATTATGGCTCAAAGTGGTAGAGTGCTAGCCTTGAGCAAAAGAGTTAAAGGATAGTGTCCAGATCCCGAGCTCAAGTCCATGACTGACAAAAATTCTCTTAGCTCTACCACTGGGTTCTTGAGGAAAAGAATCCTTATTTCCTTTTTGGTACAAGGACTTCATTAAGCAACCTAGTTTGAAGGACTGGATTAATACATCATTTTCCCACCCACTACAAGTCTCATGATTACAGGCTAAATACAACTCAGTAAGGCTATCATTTCTATCTGTTGAGGCACATTTAACGTAACCTTTATATGCTGTTACTGATTTTTGTTTTTGTCAGTTGTGGGGCTTGAACTCTGGGCCTGAACACTGTCCCTCAGCTCTTCAGCTCAAGGCTACAGCACCACTTCTGGTTTTCCGGTGGTTTATTTGAGATAAGTGTTTCATGAACTTTCCTGCCCAGGCTGGCTTTGAACATGATCCTCAGATCTCAGCCTCCTGAGTAGCTAGGATTACAGGCGTGAGCCATCGGCACCGGCATCTGATTATCTTTTTTGTCTTAAAACATTCCTCTAAGAAATCATTAAAAATAAGATTCAGTGTGTTTATACTTTTGATTAGTCAACTCCCAGCAACCACTCAACCTCTTTAAATGACAGATATCAAATATGGTCTAAACTTTCTGCCTGTTTTTCATTATATGTAAAGAGAAAGGATACTTTAGAAATGGAAAAGACTGATTCCAGATATAATAGGAAATGTCTGTAATCACTGCTCTCAGGGAGATGAGACAGGAAGATAGCAAATTAGTAGCTAGCTTGGGCTAGTTCTAGGCTAGTACATAGTAAAACCCTGACTCAAATGCATAAGATCTGCTCAATTCTCATTTATAAACCATACACGTTAAGTGTAGTATCTAATGTCTCTGAGGCTGCTGTTTCAGCAAAGATATGGGGACTCTTGTAACAAATGGCTGTAAAGACACAATTCAACTGTATTTTTTTTTGTTGGTCGTGGGGCTTTAACTCTGGGCTTGGGCCCTATCCCTCAGCTCTTCAGCTCAAGGCTAGCTCTCTACTGCTTGAGCCACAGCGCCTCATGGACTTTCCTGCTCAGGCTGGCTTTGAACTGTGATCCTCAGATCTCAGCCTCCTCAGTAGCTAGGATTACAGGTGTGAGCCAACGGCGCCCAGCGACTCAACTGTTATTAAAGCTGGGCACGAGCAGCTCAGACCTGTAATTCTAGCTACTAAGGCTGAGATCTGACGATTACAATTTGAAGCCAGCATGGGCAGGAGAGTCCTTGAGACTCTTACCTCCAATTAATCACCAAAAAGCCAGAACTGGAGCTGTAGCTCAAGTGGTAGAGTGCCAACCTTGAGTGAAAAAGCCCAGGGACAGAACTCAGGCTCTTGAGATCATGCCCCAGTACTAGCACTAAATCAAAACATTCAAAGTCCTGTTTAGTGCTTGAGCAGAATGTATGATGTGCTTATATAACTTTGATTACTATTAAATCCATAAAAAATATGCCCATAAAACTTATCAGTACTGTCTTACTGAATTTGATTAACAAACTTTTATTTCCATGTCTTATTTTCAGCCATATCTGACGCAATTTTAACAATCTCTGGTAGAAACAAACATTTCTATAGGAAGAGATTTGCAATGAGTATCTTTCGGCAGACTCTATAAAATGGAAAATAATTCCTGGGAGTGAAGATTACTAGCCAAGAGTCAAGTGGTGAAAGGATATATAAGGTGAAGCTGAAACTGGCCAAACAACTGACAACCACTGATGGGCTCAAACTAGAATTAGAGTATAATTAAGCTAAACTAAATAAAAAAGGAGCAAAGTAAGTAAAATGAGATTTGAAGTTTGAAATAGTTGGTAGACATCTTAAAGACTGATAGTTTTCAAACTGCGAAATCCAGGGTACTCCAAAACTCCTCATTTCACTGGTCTGTAAGATCAAAGTTATTACTATGCAGACATTCGCACTAATTATGGAGAAGCAATGGAGAGTGGAGGTGGTACTCTCCATATCCTCTCCACGAATCAAGGTAGAGGTAAATGAACTGTTCTAGTAGTAGTTAATCACTGGCATTTCTATATGCATTTGTGACAAAGGAAAAAAAATGAATGTCATATTCAGTGAATGTCATATTCAGGCAGTGAAAATTTTATTGCGTATTAAAACCTATTCTTGAGTACTAATTTGCATGGAAAACATAAATCATTTGATACTTATTAATAAAATGGCTATATAGAAAGACACCTGTATGACTGACCACCTGCAGTTTCATAGACTTCTTATGCCTAGGGGAGGACCCATTCAAAGCTTAAGATAAACAGATTTTTAGGGGCTGGGAAGATGGCTCAGTGGTAGAGCGCTTGCCTTGCATGCCTGAGGCCCTGGGTTCGATTCCTCAGCACCACATAAGCAAAAAGAAAAAAGCCAGAGTGGCGCTGTGGCTCAAGTGGTAGAGTACTAGCCTTGAGCTGAAGGGCTGAGGGACAGTGCCCAGGCCCAGAGTTCAGGCCCCATGTCCGGAACCCCCCCCCAAAAAAAAACAGATTTTTTAATTTAAAAGAAGAAAGGTCTATAATTTACATTTCAGAAACTAGTTAACTTTTAACATTTATCAACAAGTACTACTAAGTCACAGGACTATGAAAGTACCATTCTCTTTTCTAACTATTCACACCTAAGATTTAGTAAAATACCAGTTTTTCTAAATATGTTTACCAATTACACTGCCAAATATTATATGCATAATTATCTTCTAGTAAGCTAAGCATTAGAAATATGAAAGCCACTCTCCATCAGTTGTACTTTAGAGCTATGCAAACATGGAGTTAACTGAGTTTTATTAATTTAATCAACAGACAACTATAACCTACATGAACAAGAGTGAACAGGTTATTTTTTCTTTGTGCATGGGGGGCTTAAACTCGGGGCCTGAGCACTGTTCCTGAGCTTTTTTTTTTTTTTTTTAATTGCTCAAGGCTAGTACTCTACCACTTGAGCCCCAGGTCTACTTCCAGCTTTTTTTTTTTGTCGGTCCTGGGGCTTGAACTCTGGGCCTGGGCGCTGTCCTTCAGCTCTTCAGCTCAAGGCGAGCACTCTACCACTTGAGCTACAGCGCCACTTCGGTTTTCTGGTGGTTTATTGGAGATAGGAGTCTCATGGTCTTTCCTGCCCGGGCTGGCTTTGAACCACAATCCTCAGATCTCAGCCTCCTGAGTAGCTAGGATTATAGGCGTGAGCCACCAGCACCCGGCTTACTTCCAGCTTTTTGATGGCTGATTGGCACTAAGAGTCTCCATCTTTTAAGCACAGGCTGGCTTTGAACCATGATTTTCAGATCTCAGCCTCCTGAGTAGCTCCAGGATTACAGGCATGAGCCAGCATCACTGGGTTTATTTTAGCTATTAAAAAATAGAATATATTAATAGAACAAGGGTGTTTTATTGTGATACTTCTATAGCTGTATACAGTGTACTTTGAACAAATCAATCCCCTGTTATACTTAGTCCATCCTTTTTCAAAGTACTTGGTAAGTCTCAGGTACTTCCATACACATAGATAACGTATTCACAAAACCATACATATTCATGAAGGTGAGTTACATGGAGACTAGAGAAAAATCATACCTAGAAAGTATCAAGTTCAGTTTTCTCCATAGCACTCTCTTAATATGGTGCTCAGCTCCTTAGTAGTTTTCCCTACCACCAATGGATTGTTTTTTGGTATTACAGTATGAAATGTCTAATTCTACATCTTCTCCCCTATATATATGTCAACACTTACCCCATACCCAATTGTTAATCAAACACACTTTAACCAGGAACTAAGGAGTAAGGAACATTTAAGATACAACACAACAGCAATAACCTTTGTGTAATCTACAAGAGACATCAAAGTCTAACCTGTGTCTAGAAGATGAGGGAGTTCGCCTCCTCCGAGAACGTGATCTTGATCTTGAATGCCTTCTTTTTTCTTCTTTTTTATCTTGATTTAATAGAAAGGAAATACTTAGAAATCCACTTAGTAGAGAGATCGCATAGGAGTTTTTGATAGAATTTACCTTAATATTCAGTTTTTCTAATAAAACTTTAAATGTGTAAAGCTTTAATTTTCATGTTTCTATTAATAGCACATTCTTTTTTTTTTGATCCGGTCGTGGGCCTGAACTCTGGGCCTGGGTGCTGTCCCTCAGCTCTTCAGCTCAAGGCTAGCGCTCTACCACTTGAGCCACAGCACCACTTCCGGCTTTTTTTCTTTTGCTTATGTGGTGCTGAGGAATTGAACCCAGGGCCTCAGGCATGCAAGGCAAGCACTTTACCACTGAGCCACCTTCCCAGCCCTAATAGCACATTCTTAAACACATTAAATGTAAGTATTTTGTGTAAGTTCACAATAAATTATTGGTCTAGCAGAATGTTATAATGCATGCTTGTCTGTACATGTCTGGGGTTCAAAGGAGAAACTTCATCTTCTCTCTTCCACTTACTTCTATGATCTTCTGTGTTAAAATACTCAAGGATAAATTGTATCCCAATTAATAATCAGATTCAGGATCTGGCTGCCTAATCAAGAAAATCTTGATCTATGCAGTGACAGAATTAGATTTTGGTAAGCCTGCCTTCTTCCTTTTGTCCAGTTAATCCTCTTACTGGTATTTTTGTGTAGGAAACACATCTATAACAGAATTGTGTCATTTCTTAGTTTTAACATAAAACCTATGTGATTCCTTGAAATTAAGGCTTACTTACTGAGAATGTCACTATTAATAAAAGATCTACAAAAATTTAAAGTAGTTTGTAAAATAATTTTGGTCAAGCATAGTGGTGTACATGTATAATCTGAGCATATAGGAAGCTTAGGACTATCATATATTTGAGGCCATTATATGCAATTAGTGAGACTTTGTCTCAAAGAAAGCAACCAACAGAAGTGCTATCAGTCATGGAAGTAGTCATAGTATGTCCTAGAGTTAGTTAGTCCCACAGATCTAGTGCATCTCTAATACTCTTCAACTAATTATTTTGCATTCTGTTGATTAAATGATATATTTAAAGCACTTGGTATCAATTTATCAATTACACTGACAATCTAGAGCAGTGTTAAGAGCACTTCTTTGGCAGATACAAAGACCTGGATTTGTTCTCTAGCACCTACCCTGCAAAAAGAGAAAAGTAAATCACTTCTACAAGACAAAACAAAGGGATTAAAAGCCCAAAGTACTATTCTAAGTATTAAATAAGCCTAGGTGTACTGATATTTTAGATTGGCTCAATCATTGTGGGTGACTGTCCTACTCACAGCATATAAGCAATATTTCAGCCCTATCTACTCATTTGGTAACTGGTACCAGTGTGACAACCAGAAATGTCTTCAGGTATCTCTAGAAATGTCTCAGTGGCACTTCATTACAGGATATTTTATAACAGCTTAGAAAATGGAAAAGAATGACTAGAGCATTATTCACACACTTTAACTTATTCTTCACCATCATTTTTGCCAACAATCATAATTTACCTGGCTCTATAGCAGCAGATATCAGGGACTGGGCTTCTCGTACTCTTTTCATGGCTTCCTCTATTTCTTTACTAGAGGTATCTGATTTCAGACTTGGTGAAACAAGACCAGCAGCTACATGATTCAACCTAAAACAGAATCAACAACTGAGAATGGAAAGATTTTTAATATTAAGTGTGTACTTCAAGTAAAATAATCCTTGAAAAGGGGGAAGATTCTTTAACTTTAGTAAACAATATATAGTATAGCACATAGAACTGTTTTGAATATTTACAATGGGCATCTCCATTTTAATGATTCTGGAATAAGAAATTCAACATCCATCAGTGTTCCATAAACACACATTTTGAGAAATGCTAGTATAAAAGAATGTGCTGATGGCAAAAATAAACTTTAAATGATTTAAAAACTTTCTATGACATCTTAAGTTTGTTGGGGAAAGCGTTACCTTTTAGTTTGCAGATGGGGAGAAACTGAGGCAGTGGCCAATGGCCGACCAAAGTTACACATGAAATCCTGACTGGCAAGGCTAAAGATGCCCCTTAAGGGTTTACACATGTAAGAAAAAATTATAGACACCAAATTTAGTACAATAGTTATTTGTGGGGAGAGTGGGAAATGTTATCAGGAATGGATACGCAGAGAGCTTTAATGATACTGGTGATATTTTATAAGCTTAGGGGTAGGTACATGCTTGTTTCTTTAACTGTAAGGTAAATTTTAAAGTAAAGCCCCACTAACCAAAGTCAAATGAGTGCCCTCTCACCCCCAATGTTTCTCATTTTTTCTACCAACTTAAGGAAAAATAGTATAAAATTCAAATTTAGTTTATCAAAAAAGTACCAATTAAAAAACTCATTATATGAGATTTGCTACAAGAAAAATTTCAATTACTGCATGAAAGCATGTATCAAAGCACCGTTAAATACACTGGCTATTAACTACACATAACATGCACTTCTTTGTGTGGGGATGATTTTCCTCTCAGCTTTCTCTCTCTCTCATTATCTTTAAGGCTCAGACTCTGATCTTAAAAACTTATGAAGACCATGATGGGACTCAATGCCTTTGTAGATTTCCAGCTGTTTTTATTTTTTCTGAGCAAATATGTAAGAGATGCCATCAAAATAAGTAACTTTTTCTTTTTTGCAGAGCTGAGAGCCTTGTACTTGCTAGGCAAGTGCTCCTCCACTAAGCTAAATACCCAAGCCTAGTAAATTACTTGCTATTGAACTTTTTGTGACAGAGGGGAAGACTAATAGGAATACCTTGTAAATATGCATGGAAATGTCACAATGAACTCATCCCTCCTCCCCAGTATAACTTAATAAAAACTATCACCCTAAAAAAAAATCTCCCAATAAATAACAAAATTAACTCTTCTTTGTTGAGTGTGGTGGTATGATAATCCCAACAGTGGAAAATAGAGGCAGAAGAATTGCAAATCTGAGGCCACCCTGAGTTTCTTAGTAAAAGGATCTCAACAACAAAGCAAAACAAAGTAACTTTCTTCAGACTTTCACACAAAGGAACAGCAAGGAGCCAGAAAAAAAAATACTTACTTGGGATCAACAGTACTCATAAGCTTCAGCAACTGATCTGCAGCAAGAGACTGCCAAAAACCAAAAACATAAGCAATGACATTGTGTAAGACAATAAATGATCCTTAGTCTTTTCAGTATATTGTAATGTACTGGAAAAGTCTTTTGGGACCATCCTTTAAAAAGATGGTCTGTGGAGAAGTTTGACCAACAGAATTAAATAAATCTATGTGTGATTCTTTCAGTACTCACACTGAAAATTAAAGAGAAACCAAGTGGCTACGGTATTAATATAGCAAGTACCCTTGCCAAAGCTATTTATTTGAGCTTGAAACTAAACAGTCTAGATTTTGTAGAATTACCTCTTTAACACTTTCTGATTAAAAAAAGAAATATAGAAAACAACTTATTAGCTAATCTATTTCAAGATATCTACAAACCAAGGACTTCAGAAAAGGTTAAGCCAAATTTCAAAATAACTCTGAAACCACCAAACTAAAAAGACAGAAAAGTTATGAATGCCTATTCTCATTTTTTCATGACTCTATGATGTGATGTGTTCATTCCCCAGCATTTTATTTTCTATTTTTTCCTTTTCTTCTTTTATGGTGCTAATCCTGGGGCTTGAACTCAGGGGCTAGGTGCTGTCTCAGCTCTTTTTGCTCAGGGCTAGTGTTCTACCGCTTGAACCACAGTTGCACTTCTAGCAATTTTGGTGATTAATTGGAGGTGGTAAGAATCTCATTAAATTCCCTGTCCAGGCTGGCTTCAAACCACCACCCTCAGATTACAGCCTCTCTAATAGCTAGAATTACAGGTGTGAGACCCTGGTGGCCAGCATTATTTTTCTACCTTGAATTATATGAAAACATTTTTAGAAAAATTATGTAGTGGCCAAATAAGTCTCTTTTTAATGAGCTAGCATGAGTAGTTTTTTTTTTTTTTTTGCAATACAGAAATTAAAGTCTGGGGAATGGGTGCTGGTGATGCACACCTGTAGTCCTACCTACTCAGGAGGCTGAGATCTGAGGATTGGTTTGAAGCCAGCTGTGCAGGAAAGTCCAATAAACCACTCAGAAAAGTCTGGAAGTGCTGCTCAAGTAGTAGAGGGCTAGGGCCTACTATTGAGGTTAAGAAGCTCAGGGATATTGCCCAGGCTCTGAGTTAAGGCCCCAGGGCGGAACAAAGAAAAGAAAACAAACAAAAAAAAAAAAAGAAAGAAAAAAGAAATTAAGGCCTTCTCTTGGTATACAAACTAAAAGAAAAGCATCTTTCCTATAAAAACAGCTCACAAACTGAAGTGTAGGTAAGCTGTACCTGGGAGTTCAAGTTTGCTCCAGGAAGCCCAAGTGCAGCAAGGGCAGGATCAAGAGTAGGGGCTCCTAAAGCAGCCAATGGAACAGCGCCAATCTGCAAACATTAAAGTTGTAATTTATGTCACTTTTATTTTTGCTTTTGTAACAGCAACAGTTGTTTTCTGTAAAGGGACAGATAATAGTACAAAATATTCCATATTTATAAAATCTAGATTTTGAAAAGTAAATTGTTTCAATATATCCAGGTGTGCCAACTATATTTACTGCTTCTTAGAGACTCAGACCCACTTTCTTTCTGGCTTTGTACTACCAGTGCTAAGGACCATATAAAGTATTTTGGGAAATGCCATGTGTTAAAGCCTGTGTTTTTATTGACTTGTTGTACTTTTAAGTGGCACACTACCTGAACAGCCACCTACTTGAGCAGCTTTACAAGTTCTATGGGCACCTAAACTTCTCTATCTACTCTTTTCAGAGATTTAAATTCTCCACATATTAAGCAGGAAGCCCAAGTCCCTTGACTTATAGATGTTTCTTCTGATTCACAGTATTGTTTCTCATACAATATTCTGGTATTCATTAGATTTCCCCTAAGTAATCCCCTAACAGTTTACTCCTTATGTTAATGCTCATTGTGCATACTATGGTGCAGTTTGGTGTCCTAATAAAGTGGACTAACCCATTATTTAACTGACATGTAGGAATCTGTAATTTGAAGTTTTTCTCTAGAAGAAGTATGCTTTTTAGCTTTAGTTTCAATTAGTATTATACTATTGTCTGGCAACCAAGTACTTTTATCCAGTTGGAATACAACCAAATAGGCACCTACCTGTGTAAGTGGGTTAGGTGTAGGCAGGAGTCCACCACCAGGCAGAAGACCTGCCACTGCATTAGCTGGTGCCAACAGAGACAAAGCCTTAGTCTCATCAGGAATAACTCCTGCAGAGAAACATCCATGCATGAGAACACACTCTCTTGTAAGACAGAAAACACACAAAAACACCCAGAAAATGTCTCCCTGATACACCACCTGAGTTTGCTGAAAGTACTTTATGTTCGCTAAAATATAAAGCTTGATCTCTATGATTATTTATTATTAATTTTATGTCAGAATGAAACTTCAATGTGTGAAAATTTGTTTCCTTTTTCTCTACATATGGTTAAGTTTCTAGAATAAAAAAAAATAGCACAATACACACTACTTGTTTGTTAACACTGCCAAGATTTCATCACCTGTACTCGATTTTTAAGTCATGAACCAAACGTAAGCAAGCACAGTCGGTTCTCCAGGGGTGTGCTCTCAACTTTCAAAAGCTGTTTTATGAACAACGACTCGTGTCGGCTGCTTCACTATAAAGCACACAGAAAAATCAAGATACACAAGACAAAAAAAGTTTGATTTAGGGGTTAATAATATGGTACAGTTACTATGATTTTCTTTACACCTACCATACAAATTTTGTAAAATTTAAGAAAGGAAATGTAAAGGAAATATTCTGTTGGAATCAAGCGTAGGGCTTTTGCTGATTCATGAATACGAATGTTTCTGAAGGTCTCTGAATACACACAGATGTGTGTGTGTGTGGGGGAAGTGAGTGAGAAAGAGAAAACAGGTAAAATAACATGGCACATTCCTTACCTGTAAAATGCTTTATGTCCCCACATGTGCCATGCTAACCCATACCAAAAAATGCTGCTATACAGTGTCAGTTCAAAAGCTAACTTAGCCAAACTCCGTAAGCCAAAAATGACATAAATGTCTGTTTTTAAAGCCTAATCTGTGTATTCAGATAAAATCTAAGGGTCCTAAGACAATTTATGTAGACAATTTAAATTCTATCCAACAGCAAAAGCCCTATACAGATGGATTAATCTGTTAATGTGCCCAAGCCCCCAAAATGAGAGTTCAATAATACAATTAAACTACATATTTGCAAATACCAGTAGTATTTCTGTAATACATATTAAGAAACTGCATCTCATCATAAAACATACAATATGTACAGGGCACTTAAGAGAAACTGGATAAGCTGCAGAAGAAAACTGTTGGGTGGTATTTTCAGCAGGGCCTGGTATATAGTTCAGGCTGAACCAGGGAAAAGAACTGTAAAACACAACAACAAAAAAGAAAAACCACTGTTAAATAAAGGTAATGGTTCCTTCCACCTATACTGAGAAGTGCCGATAATATAAACAAATGTATACTACACAGCACTGTTATCTTGCTTGTGTCAGAGCTGTCATCAATTTAGATACCAAGAGTTATGGAGGGGAGGGGGAGAAGATCATTTAGATATAGGGCATTAATGCATCAATATTAACAAACCTACGAAGATTAAGGGATAATTTTGCATGCAAAATTATGTCTCAAGAGGATATATTATCAACATCTTACTCAAATTAGTGCATTTGCAACATTTCTGGCAAACTAAAATCCTCTTGAATTTATTGTAAAACACCTGATAGAAGATCTGCATCCATTTAAAAAAAAGTCATGCATCTGATCCTCTGATTTAAAAAAGACTATTTAAAAATAAAACTACAATTTAAAAATAGCAATGAGGCCCCTCACCAGTTAATTTTCATGCGTCAAGAGTATTTTTTTTACTGCTGCTTTGATAGAACCATGAAATACTGCATGAATGTGTAGAAATGAAAGAAAAAAGAAACAGACAAAAGAAACAAACATTAACCAAGGAACCTAGATATCCCCCAAATCCATTACTATTAAGAGTCCCTTCAAAATCTAGCTATCTCATTCTTACCAATTAAGACTATACCTTACCGTATACTTTGTGTCTATTGTTCTAAAACACTGAGCAACCAACACCCAAGTGTAAGAGCTAAAACTGGAGTGAATGGTGACAAAGGGATTGAATACATCAATTTACTTGAGGAGGTAACATTAATACAGCATATCATACTACAAATAAATACAACAAATATAAATTTCTAAGCTAAATATTTCTATCAATTCTACATATAATCCCCCAAACTTCACTTTCAAGACTAATCTACAAAAATGACTGTGCTCTAATATTACTTATAAAAACCAGTTATGATATACTGTACTATGTCCCAGGCTTGAGAACTATAATACTTAGCCAGTAAAGAATTCATTAAAATTAAAGATTAACTATAACATTTTGTAAATTACATTATATGACCTTTGTTATAAGACCTATCACCTGTATATTTTTCTCATCTTGAGTCTGAATTCTGTAAATTTTTTTTTTGGTGGTCAAGTCTTATCACACAGCAGGCAGACTAACATAAAATAAATTGCTGAACCCAAACATACTAACTCAAAAATCAAAATATCTATAAAACCTATAAAATTGGGCTCAAACACTTTATTATGGAAATAGATGTACTGTTATGATATAGCATGCCTTAACCCACCTCGAATATACTTTTGAAAACCAAAGGTAATTTTTTTGAGTTTAGACATTCCACAACTCTTACAAGGTATGGTGCAAATCTAAACATTTGTATTCAAAGATTGCATCTAAATTCAACAATTAACAAGACTGTTTCCACTGACCAGTTTACTAAAACAAGGGTAAGGCAGGTAAATTCTGGTCAGTATATAAATTTTTAAACTTAAAATCCAGTAAGTTTCTTATCATGTCAATGATTTCTTCCATAAAAATTTATAGTTACCAAAAAGCAAATCAAGTAGCAGTACACTGGGAACAAACTAATTATAAAATATGCCTTAGAAAATTTTACAAAATGGCATAATAGTGCTGTCTCGTCACAGTGGCATTTATAGGTCCAAAAAACCTGCATTTTTTTCTGTCAAATTACTTTAACAGCCTAAAATGTAAAAAGAGAGAAAATGTAGTTAACATATGGTTACACCAGGAAAACACTTGGGGGGCTTGAGTGCTTGCTGGCCTTTAGTTAATGTCTAGAATCCCCTGTAGCTGCAGAGGACCCACTGTTTTTCAGTCATCTGGAAGGGTTTTGCATTTGCCTTCTCCACTACAAAAATCACACACACAAATAACAGAGAGAAGAATTTATTATTTAGAGATATTCTAGAAAATATAACAAGAATGAACAAGAAAATCTGGCATAAATACAAAACACCCAGTGCCCATCTGGCACCTAAGCTACAGGAAATCTTCAATTTCCACCAAAAACAAAAAGAAAAAAAAAAAAAGAAAAAAAAATCTATTGCAACCCTTGGTATACTGGAATACAAAGAGGGATTTCTTCTTTTTTTTTTTTGCCCCAAGTTACCAATAGGAAGTTAGTACTGAAGAAATAAAAGTAACCTAGTCATTTATTTAAAAGAAAAACATCATCATGCATTTATTTGAAGGTTTCTGTGTTAGGTGTATATGGAGTGAACCATTTACCTTCAAGGACTTTAAAAATAAAACTTAACAATAAATTAAGTAGATCTTAGGGAGTCAAAATTAGGAATGAACTTAAAAATGTTTCAAAGAAAATAAAAGGTAAATATACCTGATTTCTAATTTTTAGAGTTAAAAAATACTGCAAGCAAAGATTTATGGACTGCAGTATAACAAGGGTTTCAAAATGTTAATAACTTAAGATTTTAACATGCTACTAATGCTCATTCTATAACTACACTGAGGTAGATGGTCATCTTATGATGCCCATATAGGTAGTTAAACAAAGCACAAACCTTCTGCATATGGTACGACTATCAAAGCTCTGTCAACGAATACAGTATTTGTCAGATGCTGTGCCACAACTGCTGAGTCTGGATCATGGAATTTAACAAAGCAGACACGAGATGAGACTGGCAAAGGTGAATCACTAAAAAGCAAAAACAGAATAGTGACATGAGAAAAATCTTACCAGCTAGAAAATAAATGTATAAGACTTGCATCCTAAAAAAAAAAGTTATGAACATAGAACTGCATATATACCATTTTAACTTGTTCATTAAATAGTGTATCACCCTAACAACTACTTAAATTTATAATGTACCATGTTTTAAATGTTTTCAACATTCATGGAACAACAAAAATAGAGACAATTTCCATATATATGTTTGAACTCAGGATTTGGGTTCTGTCCCTGAGCTCTTTTGCTCAAGACTAGCACTTTACTACTTTCAGCCACAGCTCCATTTTCGGGTTTTGAGTGGTTAATTGGAGATAAAAGAGTCTCACGGGGACTTTTTGGCCTGGGTTGGCTTTGAACCCACAATCCTCAATCTCAGCCTCCTAAGTGCCTGACATGCCATTTACTTTAACAGGTAACAACTTAGTTTCAGCTTAGAAAGTTTTCATTATAGCTATTTTCTCAGAGTAAAACTGACATTTTAATCTCAAGAATAAAAGAATACGGTGATAAAGCAGCTATATGATGGCCAGTTTCCCTGGCCTCCTTAATAAGGCAGTTCCATACATTGAGCTTTTCCACATACAACTATGTTTAAGGGCTCATGGCCAATTTAAACAACTAAGGCTTTCTAGCCACTAGCACTTTCATAGAAAAAGAAATTAAGCACATATGGAGTACTTTAAGTTTTTAAATAATACCCCTTCCTACTATTTCCTTGAGTGAAAAGAGCCATTCCCTTCAGCAAATTGGTTCTTTTAGACAAAAGAAAAACAAGATATGGGATGCAAGATATGGCAGCTAAGATGACTAATACAAGGACTAAGTAGGCTTTTAAAAAAATATAAAAGAGACATATACTAGTTATTGCAAATAAGGGAAAGCATGGGACCTGTTTCTTTGGGCCTGGATTACTAGTGTATGTCTGAGACAAGCAGAAATGTTCTGATAAGTTGATGTTAGGTGATATGAACCCCAAGATAAGGATTCAAATGGTTTTTCTTTCTTGTGATTGTTTCTAACATATTTATAAGATGATTTTTTTTTTTGGTCAGTCATGGGGCTTGAACTCTGGGCTTGGGTGCCACTTCCAGTTTTCTAGTGGTTTATTGGAGATAAGAATCTCACGGACTTTCCTGCCAGCGCTGGCTTTGAACCAAGATCCTCAGATCTCAGCCTCCTAGTATCTAGGATTACAGGCTTGAGCCACTGGCGCCCGGCAAGATGATTTCTTTGTTGCTTTGTATGTTCCTCCCCCACGGTACATCCCCTGTTTTCACTGTATTTGATGTTGGCATACTTTGTGGAGGGGAAGGGAAAAAAGAAATTGTTTAAATAGGGATACAGGCAGACCCGTTGCAACAATGAGATGTACAAGATGTTATGTCAGGGCTGGGAAGGTGGCTCAGTGGTAGAGCGCTTGCCTTGCGTGCCTGAGGCCCTGGGTTCGATTCCTCAGCACCACATAAGCAAAAAGAAAAAAGCCAGAAGTGGCGCTGTGGCTCAAGTGGTAGAACGCTAGCCTTGAGCTGAAGAACTGAGGGACAGCGCCCAGGCCCAGAGTTCAGGCCCCATGACTGGACCCCCCCCCCAAAAAAAGACGTTATGTCAGAAAAAGGAACTTTACAACCTTGGTGGGGGATGGGGAGAATAGGAAGGGATGGGAAAGGGAAACAAAGGAGGAGGCAACAATACTTGATAAGAAATGTACTCTTTACCTTGCCCATGTAATTGTAACCCCTCTGTATGGTATTTTCACAATAAAGAAAAAGAAATAAAGACCATCAAAAAGTTAAAAAAAATATAAAAGAGAACCAGGGTTGCCAGTGGCTCATGCCTGTAATCCTAGTTACTCAGGAGGTTGAGATCTGAGGATCCTGGTTCAAAGCCAACCGGGCAGAAAGTCCATGAGACTTTAATCTCCAATTAACCACCAGAAAGCAAGAAGTGGCACTGTGGCTCAAGTGGTAAGGCGCTAGCCTTGATGTGAAGAGCTGAGGGATAGCGCCTAGGCCCAGAGTTCAAGTCTCATGGCCAACAACAAAAGGGGGCTGGGAATATAGCTTAGTGGTAGAGTGCTTGCTAGCATGCACGAAACCCTGAGTTAAATTCCTCAGTACCAAATAAACAGAAAAATCCAGAAGTGGCAATGTGACTCAAGGGGTAGAGTACTAGCCTTTAGCTGAAGAACTCAGGGACAGTGCCAAGGCCCTGAGTTCAAGCCCCAGAGCTGGTAATAGATAGATAGATAGATATAAAAGACAGCTAGGCATTAGTGGCTCACACCTGTAATCCTAACTAGGAGTCTGAGATCTAAGGATCATGAGTCATTTAGACTCTTATCTCTAATAAATCACTCAGAGTGTAGCCTTGAGAAAAAGAATGCCAGGGATGATGCCCAAGTCCCAAGTCCCAGGACCAGCAATTACCCCATCCCAGCCACAACAACAAAAAAATCCCCAAACATTAAATAAAAGGCAGAGGTTGCTTCCCAACCACACACCAAAAGTTATTTAAAAAATCAGTGTCCTAATGCAATGGAAACCATTTAATTCCTGGCCATCTGTGTGTTAATATCTAGGTTTTCTACTTCTGGTCAACTAAATCAGTATTTCTGGTGGGCAAAGCACTTAGCCCATCCTTTTAAAATTCTTCCTGACAACAAGCCAACTGTATTTTAAGACTCAGTGATAAAAAGGAGATAATCTGATTATACATACATATAATATATATAATAGTAAAATTTTAAACTGTATAAATACCTTTAGTAGTCATACCCATTTGGAACTTACATAAAATTTTCCTAAAGGAAAAAAGGGATCCTACCTACTTCAGGTTCAAAGTGATACACAAGGAACTTAAGTCAGTATGTCATAGTCTTACTGTTAAATGTTTCTGAAAGGATTAAGACATACATACATAAATAATGTGAATTAGTACTACTCTAACATTTTTATTCAAACATTAAACTTGTTATTTTGTATATCTTTTCTAAAACATACATGTTTTTCTTAACACACAATACTATTATGTTCTAACACTTAATGCCTTAGGAAATAGTAAGATATTTCACAATTCTTTAATACTATCATCAGATTAAAAGACAAAAAAGTTCTTAAAACTATATATTATATATAATTAACATACATATGAAATTCTTTTTTTTTTTTTGGCAGTACTGGGTTTGAGTTCATTAGGCAGGCACTTCATCAATTGTGAGCCAGAGCCATAGTTTTTTTTTTTTAGTCCCTTTTCAAATATGGTCTCATGTTTTTGTTCAGTCTGGCCTAGAACCTCTCCTGTAGCTGGGATTACAGGAAAGTACCTGGCAATAAACAGTTCTTCAAGCTGGGAAACGGTGGCTCACAACTTGTAATCCTAGCTACTCAGGAAGCTGAGATCTGAGGACTGGGTCCAAGCCAGTCAAGGCAGGCAAGTCCTAGAGAGTTTTACCTTCAATTAATGAAAACTAGAAGTAGTTCTGTGGCTCAAGTGGTAGAATGCTAGCCTTGAGTGAAAAAGCTAAGGAACAGGGCCCAGGCCCTGAATGCCAAGCCCCAGGACTAACAAAACAGTTTTTCCATTTACCACCTACTGCTTTTCCACTTATTTTGTGCAAGAACCACTTCTAAAAATGTAAATGTCTTTACAGTCTATATTCACGGCCACTAAAATGTGAGAACCTCTGAGTTAGGCCACTAGACAACAGGCTTTCTCAAATCCTACCTTAAACTTGAGTGGATCATTTCTAAGGAAAATGATCCCCAAACAGCACCTGCCTTGCTCCTTATAAGAAGTACACAGTAAAATGTTGCATTGTAAAAAGGAATTTAATTTTTTGTTATATGTAACTAATCTTAAAAGATCATTAATGTACTTGATTGGTTACTCAAAAGCTATTAAGGATCTTAAATATATCTACATTGCTAACAGTAGTTTAGCTTACTGTAACAAGACCCCAATTACATGCTTCACTGGACTAATTATTTGATAAGCATTTCAGTTACAATCTCTTATTGTAAATCACACTAAATCCATGCCCCGCCCCTCACCTATATCCCACCACTTCAAAGACAGAGGCAGAAGAACTGTTTGAGGTGAGTCTGAGCCACACAGCAAAAGACCCCATCTCTAAAAACCCAGGTATGGGGGTTGTAGCTTAGTGGTAGAGCAGCTTCCCCAACATATGAAGTAATTTAACATTTTTGGAATGAAATGTCCTTTTGGACTGCTGCTAGTCGGTAACATATTATCTGACAAACTACTGCTGAAACTCTAAATTGTCAAGAAAGTATTCCCAGTTTGAACAGGTCAGACTAACTATTCAGACAGACTAATAAACAAAACCCAACACTAAATAAATAAAAGCAGTCGCTTACAATATTGTTCAAATCTGAAAGCCCATTAAAGATAATGCAGTATCCTCTATATTGTAACTTGTACATTTTCAGAAGGAAACGATATCTATGTAGAACCTAAAGGATGGAGCTAAACAGCAAAAATATGTCAATAATATATTCCCTTGGGAAAGGAGTCTTCTGAATGCATACATAGCAACTTACATGTTGTGAATGGCTGAGCAATTCCCCAGCAGCTATTCTGGTTATAATGAAATTATTCATTTTACTACAAAGGAAAAAGCCAGACTCTGGTCCATCACAACTTTCTCCAAGACACTATCCATTGATAGGTTTAAAACAAAAAACAAAACTGGGTTTTGGTGGCCCCTGCCTATAATCCTAGCTACTCAGGAGGCTGAGATCTGAGGATTACAGCTCAGAGACAGCCCAGGGAAAAGTCCTAAGACTCTTTAACTCTAATAAACTACTCAGAAAAAGCCAGAAGTGGTGCTAACTTTGAGCAAAAGAATCTCAGGGACAGCACCCAGGCCCCAGAGTGAAAGCCCTAGGACTGGCCAAAAAGGAAAGTTAGTAACTTCCATGCCTAGAAAGAATGATACAATTCAGTGTTTCAAATGCCTGAGTATTAAATGATTACAACCACCAAAGTATCACTGATTTTCTGCCATTTTTTATGAAAATTCCAGGTGTATGTTTTCTCCAAAATTAAATACAACATAGCAATATGAAAATAGTATGTGAAAATATTAAATAGAAAGTAACGAAATACATGAACATTATTAAAGTAGTAACTCATTATCACAACTTTTATCAATTTTATTTAGATATATTTAAGTAACTATGAACAATTTTTATCCATCATTTTGAGCAGAAATATACCAAGATTGATTATATACACCTTAATAATAAATTTCTTCAGGATTTCTATATTTCCTGTTTAGAAATTAAATACCACAAAACTGTTAACACACGTAGATGGTTTACTGACAATATTTCAATTTTCACCTTTCCACTATTTTTCCTAAAGAGCATATAACTAGTATTCTAGATGTTTATGCTGTTTTTTTTTTGGTATGTCGTGGGGCCTGAAGTCTGGGCCCCAGCGCTGTCCCTCAGCTCTTCAGCTCAAGGCTAGTATGCTCTACCACTAGAGCCACGGTGCCATTTCCGGCTTTTTCTGCTTATGTGGTACTGAGGAATCGAACCCATGGCCTTATGCATGCAAGGCAAGTACTCTACCACTGAGCCACCTTCCCAGACCCTAATCTACTATTTTTAAACCTTTACTTCATAACTGCTTTATAGATCATTAATCCACTTAATACTTGGCAATGAAAGTATTTTTAACATGAATAAGACACAGATTACATGCTGCAATTCAAATTTCCAACCTTTTTTTTTTTCTTGGGTCCAGTCGTGGGGTCTGAACTCTGGGCCTGGGCGCTGTCCCTCAGCTCTTCAGCTCAAGGCTAGGGCTCTACCACTTGAGCCACAGCACCACTTCCGGCTTTTTTCTTTTTGCTTATGTGGTGCTGAGGAATCGAACCCAGGGCCTCATGCATGCAAGGCAAGCGCTCTACCATTGAGCCACCTTCCCAGCCCCAAATTTCCAACTTTTTATAAAATCCTTTCTCAAGGAAATAAAATTCTATACATTAAACAGAAGGAGACACAAGGACTCGGCTATTTCTTATTTTTGACACATCAATACCAAAAAGAATTAAGTATTCAGGCTCACTGGATTAACCAAAAATTGGTTTAAGCCCCCTTCCATAGGCCAAAATCACGGAGCAGCATCTGCAATAAGTGAACCAGTTTTAACACCAAATGTACACACGTGTGACAGTTCTGCGACCTCTCTTTCATCAAGGATGCGTGATATATTTTTTAAAGTAATCGATATGCGACACGCGTAAAATGCAGTTTGTCAAAAGAACACCACCACACGCTGGCACAATTTAAGAAAAACAACAACAAAAATCCCCAAACGAAACGACAGTGTGACCTAATCTCTCAAGTCGTGGCCCAGCCCGTGCGCTTCCCTTTCCGTAAGTTCTTTCCTGCGTAAACACGAGCACCAGGTCAGCGCCGGCTTCCGGGCCCGGAAGCGCCGCGGGGCCGGAGTGGCGGCTAGGCCCAGGCCCGGGCGGCGTTAGCGGAAACGGGGATGGTGGACGATACTCACTCCGGCGGGAAGAGGCGCAGTTCGTCAATCTTGCCTAGGAACCCGAAGAGCGTCCGCATCTGCTCAGAGCTGGCGCTCGGGGAGACATTCGTCACCTGGATTACCTCGGTGCCGCCGCCGCCGCCGCCTCCGCCGCCGCCCGGCCCGCCGCTGGGGCCCGGGCCCGCAGTGCTGGGGACGACGGTGGTGTTGCTCATGGCGCTGCTCGAGTTCTCGCTCCTGCTTTAACACATCAAACACACAACAAACAGTAAGAGGGGGGAGAGGAACCGGGTCGCGGGGGAGACAAGGTGTCCGCCACTGCTGTCCAGTTGCTGCCGCCGCCGCCGTTCCTCCGCCCCACAGCACGCCGGGGGGAGGGGAGAGCGCGCGCGAGTTCGAGACCACGAGAGCACAAACGGCCCACCCCGCCGCCAACCACCTCCCTCCCGGGCCGGCGCCCACAATGCCTCGCGGCGCGCCTGCGTCAGCGCCGGAAAGGAGAGCAGCGGCTTGCGTCCTCTTGGCCTCTTGGCGGTTTTTCACTGTTTAGTTTTCTTTAAAGCACGCATTCATCCCACTGGAAAAACCTGCCCACTTCGGCAACCATCCTATTAACTAGCGACCACAGTGTTTCCCCCGGCGGAGGGAGCTGCGCGGGATGGCGGTGTCGCATGCACACCCACCCTCGCTACCGTTCTTCTCGGCCGCTGCCACTATACTGTTTCCTTAAGTTTTCACACAAATTTTGGTAGCCCTAGACTTGTAACTAATTTGCTTTGCGTCTAAAATCTTCGGAAAAGGTAACAGTTCACAAACCTACTACAAACCTGCTATTTGTAAGTTAAATTTTTATTGCACAATATCATTTGCAAGCACGTTTTACAGTACTTAAGGATAGTCGGGTATATGATCAACAATTCCTAGAGGAAAACCTGCTTTACATGCATACAATAAAATACCATGAAGTAGTTGTACTAAGGGTTTACAACTCCCGAAGTCAGGTTATGAGCACAATGCTTCTTAGGCAATGTCACCCCTTCCTTCATTTTCTCCCTTTGGTCCCAACCCACACATAGAAAAAAATCTTTGCCTTATGTTTTTAACATCCATTGTTATCCAATTAGGCAGTTCCTCAAACTTGACAAAACTTTCACTGTTTTGGACCTTTAGGTAACGACTACTTTCTCCCATTTTATTTAACTGACATCATGCACAGTCTTCCCTCATTAATTTCTACAAATAGTAATTCCTCTACTCCATGACAGGGACTGTATGTACTTGTAATATGCATTCCCTTTACAGTGGCAGAACAAATCACATCTATCGAAATATCAGTACTGTGTATTTAATACATGTACGAAAACACTCTAATGGCAGTATCATTTATTGTAAAACAGTTTGAATCAGTATTTTTGAGGCTAAAATTCAAGGCGTTATGGTATATCTACATCAGTGAATATTTCTTGGCATAAATTCAGTCACAGGTGCAATTTGTACAAGATTATAATACAAGTTATTGAGGTCTGGATGTAAAATGACTTGTCTAGGTTAACTCACTAGTGACTCACTAGACAGTGTATTTGTGAATCTAAACAATGTTAAGATATTTATTTTCTCATTTTAAATTAGACATGGAATTGTTAAGGATTTTTACCAGTTCAACACTTTAAATAGTAACAGTGCTTATAATATGCCACACCTACTACAATATTTGAAAAAAGGACAAAAAAACACAAGGGCAGAGTTAATTTTGCCTGCCTCATTTTCTTTACCATTACCAAACATCTATTTATTTTGTTGTAGGTACATAGTACACAGAAGTATTTTATGTAATTCTACACTTTTCTGAGTGCATAATTCAGAATTCAAATTACAAGTTCAAGCCAAAGAAAAATAATTCAGTAATTAAATTATTTAATCAGAAATCAATTTAGAACAACTTATTGAACATACTAATAAGATGGGACTTGAATATGGAGATGGAGAAACATGACATGAAAAACATGGTGGCAAAAATACTCTATTCAAGTAGATCTTAAAATATTTTAGTTTCAAATCATCTAGTAGGGCCAGGCGCTGATGGTTCATGCCTGTAATCCAGATACAAAGGAGGCTGAGATCTAAGGATTACAGTTCAAAACCAGCCCAGGCAAGAAAGTCCAACAAAGCACCAGAAAACGGGAAGTGGTACTGTGGCTCAAGTGGTACAGCATTAGCCTTGAGCTGAAGAGCTGAGGGACAGTGCCCAGGCCAAATTCAAGCCCATGACGGACCAAAAAAAAAAAAAAAAATCATCTACTAGCTATAAAACACACAAAACCAAAAGCCAAAATTGAATTTAAAGAGAAGACAGCCTAAGTACCAAGCTCTCATAAAGCATGTGATCTGAAAAAAGGTCCCTTTGCTTCTAAGAATCTACCTGTTTACTAACCAATCAAACATGGAATTGGCTAATTTTGAACATTCTTAAAGGTCTAATGAGTAGATTAAACAATTAATTACTTTGTATTATTATCTGTATCTCTCAGAAAATATTTAGCTAAAGGCAAGCAAATAATGTCAAAACAAACAAGTACACTCAAATCTATATTAGTTTTCAGGCACTGCTGATTTGTTTAGGCTCCAAACTAAATAAGGCAATAAGGAGTGCAGAATCTGGAGACATATATTCTCCAGTATATCTCAAGATTTATTCACCATATTCACAATAAAAAAAGCAAAAAAAAAATCACAATTCTGGAGCATATTCACTATAACCCTACAGCCTCAAATTACAAGTTAGTGCCAGGCCATGCCTGTAATTGTAGCTATCCAGGAAGCTGAGTTCTGGAGAATCAAGGTTCAAAGCTAGGAGAAGACAGTAAATTTCTCTTTCCCAAACTATCTCCAAAATAACCAGTAAAATTCCCTGTTGGAGGCATGGGTCAAATAACAACATCAGTCAAGCAAAGCAAATGGAACAATTGTGGGAATCAAGTTCAGGAACATAAAAAAAAATCACAATTCAAGTATGTATTATGTTTCAAGGATTTCCTGGATGCTCAAAGGGAAGAGATAGTAAAAAAAACTTACATATTTCTCCATGGTACTTTAACCTAGGCTGGCCTCAAACTTGCCTCACCTTCTCAAGTGTCAGGATTATAGATAAGCCCCAAAACACTAGGCTAATCTGATTCTTGATACTGCCAGAAAAGTATGGCAAAGAATATTTGCAAATGTTTTATGCAAATTCTCAAAATACTAATCCTGTTAGTTTTACGAAAAGTTTTAGTCCTTTCTAGTACCAAGTTTTTAAAAGAACTTATGTAGAAGTAAGTTTTTTAGATAAATGAGCACAGACACAAACATACCATCCCTACTGCTGCTATACACCACTGTCCTAACTTGTATAATACAAGACACTTATTTTTGTCAGTACTTTTGTTTATACTAATAGAAATGATGGTAGACACTTCACTGACTCCAATTCTGCATATCTGCACAAACAACTGGATTTTTAATTAGGTAAGCATCTCCTAACTAATTAAGCAACTTTTGAAGGCACTGAAGGCAATGAATTAACTTTTGTGCTCCTGATGGACCAATGTTTTAAGGAGAGATCTTTCTGTGTTACCTAGGACCTAGGATGACCTAGACCTCCTATAGGTGTGTGCCATGGAACCTAGCAATCAATATTACTACACTGTATTAAATTAAATTCAGCATTTAGTAAAAGTTTAGTGAGTTTCATAATGTGCTAAAACTGTACAAATGCTTCACATAGTCTACGAATCCTGGTAAAGCAGATAGCTTATCATTGTGACATACATAAAGGTATGCATGCAACAAGGCTTGGCAAATACAGACAACAATGTATCTGTTAAGATTTAAAAGAGAGGGGCTGGGAAGGTGGCTCAGTAGTAGAGTGCTTGCCTTGCATGCATGAGGCCCTGGGTTTGATTCCTCAGTACCACATAAGCAGAAAAAGCCAGAAGTGGGGCTTAGGCTCAAGTGGTAGAGTGCTAGTCTATAACTAAAGAGCTCAGGGACAGCGCCCAGGCTGAGTTCAGGCCCCATGACCGAACAAAAAAAAAAAAAGATTTAAAAGAGAGATTTTGTTGAGGTTAAAAAAAAATCAAGTATATGATGATAAATTTTTCCTTTATACTAATAGAGAAAAAGGTAAAAAACTAGTAAATAAAACTGCTGCTTACATATCTCTAAAATTTATGATATATTTTATTTTCTACAGTACATCTTTGACATATGGGTATATAGTTGCAAAGAAACTGCCCTAAGGAAAAAAAACCACCAATACTCAAGATGTATAGAGTTCAGTACTCTAAAATTACTCCAATTTGCCTAAAACCTATGTGTAGTTAGCCAGAGCATCCATAACACACAATCACACAAAGCAGGGTATTTTACTGTCACAAAACTACTGTTGTACACACTAGTATTAATCACCAAACTAGATCTTATTTCATGCTATTTTTCCCAAATACTACAGATGTTTGATTACGTTTTTCCATATGCTGCTAAACTTCCACTAAAGCTGTGCTGCCTTTCAACAAATCTAACATTTAAGCATAGTGATTTTTTTTTGTTGGTCATGGGGTTTGAACTCTGGGCTTAGGTGCTGTTCCTGTGCCCGTACCACTTCCAGTTTTCTGGTGGTTATCTGGAGATAAGAGTCTCACAGACTTTCCTGCCCAGGCTGGCTTTGAACCATGATCCTCAGATCTGGTAGCTAGGATTGCAGGTGTGAGCTACCAGTGCCCAGCAAGCACAGTAATTTTCAGTTTGGTTTGGAAGGTATTATTGTCATGTAGTATATCATATACTGACTCAACCACAACTGAGGATAATCAGGACAAAGCTTCTCCACACCAAAAATCTGCATAGTGAGTGCACAGGAACTGCAAAGTTTTGTTCCTGAAATTTGATCTTTTGTTAATTGGGTTGTTTATTCCTATTTTTAGTGCATTTGGTACTAATTCCATGCAATAAGTCCACAAATAAGGAAAGCTTACAGTATTTCTAACTATTTGTATGATATTTCTGTTGGTATTTCTATAAATTTAGATAATTCTATAAATACTATATTAAACCTATAAACCTCATTCTCCCTTTTCTTCTTCATTTAAGTGAAGAGAAGAAGCTAAAGGATGGGCTAGCACTAGGAAACAGCTAGAAAAAGTGGACACAGACCTCAGAACTTCCCACTAGGACATACAAAAAACACAAGTTTATTCTTAATATGTCTTTGTTTTGATAAAGGATAAAAACAGTAATTTGAGCACCAAGATACCATTTCTAGGGCTGTAAGCATGGTTTAAGAGGTAGAACAGCTGCCTAGCAAGTGTGAAGCCTTGAGACCAAAACTGGAAGTAGAGCTGTAGTTCAAGTCATAGAATGCTAGCTTTGGACAAAAAAGCCCAGGGGCAGTGCTTAGGACCCAAGTGAAACC